TCGTCACTCATCTTCGAACGTCTTCCCATCTGCCGTCAGTAGTTCAGTACCTCTAGTTTCGAATGCAAGCAGTAATGGATCAAAGGGCGTATTGTGAGCAAGCATTGTAGAGAAGTAATCGTTCGTGATAAGCAAAAAAACAACGTCGCCAGCTAGGTTTGCCAACATTAATGAATTTCTTAGCCTTCCGTCGAATTTCAAAAAATATCAAAAATTTCAAATTCAGGTAAAATGTGATTACCACACAGATCAATAGTTTCTTATGAAAATATTGGCAGCATAATGCGCGCTACATAGGATCGGAACGAGCAAATAACTGGAATGGAAGAGTATGATGGTGTTCATTTGTTTGGCTGACTTCATCTCATTTCATATCAGCGAACAAATGATTGAAATAGACAAACGAGCAAATGAATGAATGAGCAAACAAACAAACGAAAAAACAAACAAACTAACGAATGAATGATTGAAAAGAAGAATATAAACGAACGAATCTTTTTGGCATTGGGGAAAATAAATAAAAGAACCAAGATGTTCAGTGTGATTCTTCGTTTGTTTACATCAATGTTTAATCGCTACGTACAGATACATAAGAACTGTAAGAACTGGCACACACACACACACACACACACACGCACACACACACACGCACACACGCAAAACGGGAAGACGTGTTTGAAAGTGCAGCGACCGCACACGGTAGCGGTGTGATTATTTTGTCTCCACACGTTCACATCAAAAATAAAATCTCGATATATAATATAAATTCAATTCTACAACATATATACAATTTATAATATATTTACATACATATTTAATATATACAAAGTGAATATATGGAGTAAAAATAGATAAATATATAAACACGATTTAGGTGTTATATTTCACTTTAGCAGTCATGCAACTAACACCACACACATACAAACACACACCTCACACACACACACACATACACACACAGGCACACGCACACACATACATACATACATACACGCACATACACTCATATGCACACAAAACACAATTATGTTTTCAGTTTTAGAATGAGGATGAACCACCATTTTAGTCTGCACACAATTTAGCATGGAGTTATTTCAAAAGTTATTTCAACGCATAACCAACGAAAACACAACTTTTAATATCTTTCCATGTTTAGTGCGAACTGCGGGCACATGGTCTGCATGAATATTTAAAAAACATGAAATTATTTAGGTAACAAGAAAATTGTAGAGGCGACAATTCTCGAGGTAGCAATGTGAGCAGTTTAAAAGCTGCGGTACGTGGTTGGTCTGTTTTTTGAGACGAAACATTCGAACGTTATAAGCAATGAATCCTGCCTACGCACACGCACCGCAGGGCGCTTATCAAGAAAGATGTTTCGTCTAGATGGCAGTTTCTGAGCTCTTTTCACTGTGCCAAGAAATAAAAAAAATTATTGAAGTTAAAATTAATTGTTCGAATATTTTTTGACAATATTTCAAATTTTGTAAATTGATCAGGAAGCTGGCCAATTTTTTCACTGAAATGTTGAAAATGTTTCAAAATGAATAAAATGATGGAAGCTTTTCAACTGCCAATTTTTTCAATCACGGCCGATTACAAGTTGGTGATGCCAAAATTTGAAAGTTAAACAATTCCAGCCAAAGTCATCTGCAAAAATTTTAAAAAGCGATGTGTAGAAATGTTAAAAATTATTTTTTCGTTCACCTTTCCATCAATGGATAGTGTGAAATTAATTTATAATGCACAAATTTTTACGGCATCTTGCAGCTATCTATTATGAAAACATTGGCGAGCAATTATTTGAGACGTTTCAACTAAAAAACATTTTTGAATGTTGTGCTTCTGAGTAACGCGAATATGTCTTTTATGCAATAAATGACGCATGAACTACAAATATTTTGAACTTGCAAAAGTTATTGAAGCTAATATTTTTTAACATTCTGCAATCAGTAATATTTTAAGCATCGTTTGAAGCAAAATGAATCAATGCCGACCGTTCTTAATGTTTGAAAGAAATCATGATGAGCAGTGGTCTCTCGCAATATATTTCTAGTCACGTACCATCATCACTTTTGTCAATTGTAATGATTCATGTTATTATTAATGTTTGAATCTGAAATAAAAAAAATGTTTCATTTGTTTTGAAAGTTAAATATATGCGAACTGCAAATTATTTATGAGCAATTATTTGTAACCACTTCTCATTCTTCTTGATTGCTTTTTAATGAAAGCTTACGAGCAAAACTAAATAAAGAGCCAGATAGGACTTACCGAACGAACATACATGTGTATTGTGCATGCAGGGGCAATTTTTATTTGCAGTTAATTGACGTATGCAATCCACTAATGATACAACAATCTTCTCAACCTAACCAAACCAAACTCATCATTTATTTGACATAATCAGATCCAAGCCTGTCTTAATTTTTATTTTATAAACTAGCTCTCTTCAAATTTGCGCACTATAAGGTATCAAGATATCTAAAATTATATGTTGGATACAGAAAGAGATAAATCTCTGAAATCTGAAGTTCAGCTTGAAAGTGCGTGTGACTTCTTGCATATGTACACAGTTCATGTTTGTTTAATGGACAGAAGATGATTGCATTATTATTTGGCTTGTGTGTCTTTTCAAATGTGCGTATTTTTGTGTTTATTTGTTTGGGCACGCATGAACCATTGCAAGTGTTTGAATTAACATGAATATTGGTTTGTGCATGCGAGCTCATAATCAAACATGTTATGTAGGAAGGTAGGTAGGTAGGTAGGTAGGTACAGTTCACTTGAAATTTCTGCATGTACAAACTCTTTCATGTCAGCGGCTATGTTAGGACAAGAATAACAAATACTACACTTCATATTTTCAAATATTTATAATTTTTTGCCTGAATACAATATTTTTTAAACTTTTCGTCACGCCGACAAATGATCAACTTTCAAACGTTAACTTTTTTGAGTGATATCCCAAGCCAAACCGCGCGCACGTCGCAAAATGACTTGATTGAATTGGTGCATCAATACACAACTTTTTTTTTATTTTTAAAATTATAAATAAATAACATACAACAACATCTTCATCAAATATTATAACTGCACTCTATTTATCTTTCAATGAATACAATAATTAGTTTTCATCTTTACATATTTCAAAGTTTGAGAAAAAAAAGACTAAATAAATCTGAACTGTTTGTAACATCGCCTCGTTTGGTATTGCTTTTTTCCAACGTGCAAATGAAATGAACGGCAAAGAAAAGAAACATACACGCAGAGATTTCTAAGAATAAATTAGATTTTTTGCTTATTTCGCGTCCCATACGACATCCTGAAACATCGGTCTGATGGAAAAACATGATTCACTGAAGAAATTTAAATGTTGTATCGGCGGCTGCGGGCGAGAAAATATAAAAATTCATTCCGATCAGTTTCTTTTCTCGATGCGGATTTATAAAATTTTCAAAATAATTTCTTTTTTGTTAATTTTTTATTACTATGAATTTCAATTAATAAAAAAGTTAATTACCTAATTGATTTATTTAAATATTAAATAAAAGTACATATTGTAATAATGTGAAATGTTATGGTTTTGATTCGTCGCAGAATACAATCAAGTCATAAAAGAATAGGAAAGAATGTTACAGATGGATCACAAAACTTTGTACAACAAAAAAAATGAAGACTCAAAAGATTTGTTAAGGATCGTAATAAAATGATTTTTCAAATTCCATTCATTCGTCTCATCCATTCATTTCATTCATTCATCTCATCCATTTATCTCGCCCATTCATCTTTGAAATGAATACGGGTTAATGAAAATCGTGATAAAAAATCTAAAAAAATTGGATAAAATATGTACAGATCTTGCAGTGAAATGCTATTTAAATTAAACTACATAATAATGAGTATGTGAATGATTATTATTCATAAAGTATACCTACAAGTTTAATATGGATGAATGAATAGAAATATTGCTTTTCCGCTTAAGTATTACATTCAAGTATTTACAAATTTAAAGGAAACAAAAGCTATCTCGATGGTTATAAAAAAGTGTCCAAAGACATGTCGCAATGAAATGAATGTTATACATAATCGAGTGTTTAACGTTGAGCAATGTTCATTCGCCAGGTGATTAAATATTGGAATAAATAAATAAAATAACATTCACAAAATTATTTTATTCGTTAGAGTTTCATTTGAAACTACTGGAAGAGATAGATTTTTTTATCTTGATGGAGAACTTCTTGGGTACAATGCTGAAAATTTTACTGTGGTTCGTGCCTCCATTTTTGGCATCGTGGTCCTTGGAGGAGAGATCGCATTCGTCGAGACGACTGCAACTTCCAGAGGATCTTCTGTCGAGGTCTATGTTCGATTTGCTGTTTGAAGTCTTAGTTGACCTGCCGTGGTAGGCGTGTATTGAAAGTCTGTTTTTATTTTTATGACTTGCCATGCTAAGACTCGTGTTTATTCGTCGGAGGAAGGTGTCGTTCAACGTTCCCGCTTTTTCTTTTTTGTTTTTCCTCTTACTACGCTTGGATTTGCTGCGTTCGCTGCTGTATTTACTTTTTTTTCTAAACTTTCTTTGGTCATCCTCCTCGTCATCGTCATCATCTTCTTCGTCGTCAGATGTTGAATCGTCGTCAGGTTCACTGGCAGAACTTGGCTTGGGAGTTGTCATCTGAATGATCTCGTTCACCAGGTTCAAATCCGCCTCAACTGCAGCCTTCTGAAATAAAAAAACACTCAGTGAGATCTGAAAAATGAAAACAATTCTGATAAAAAAAATTACAACTCGATTTAGTCGTTGGAAAGTACAAGTCAATTTTACTTCGTATTAATATTTTTAATCTAAACATAACATAGCTACTCAGTTTCATTTCTGTCTTAAAAAAATGGTGTAAAAATATTTTTATATCTCTTATTTGTCCACTTGGCTATTACATGAAATATTGCTAGAGGTAATTAAAAATTAATTAACAACTATTTAATAAATAAAATAATTATAATTTTTTCATTCTGACATAGCATGGACATAATAAACACAATATTGCAATTTTATTTCCTATTGTAATGTAGAGGAAACGTTGTTGAAATTTTAAATAAAATCTTCCAACATCGAATCCTGTTCCATCGGACTCTTGTTTCCTGCGCAGAAATATGTACGGATCCCTCCCAATCTTGTTCAGCCGCTGGGCTGCCACGGACTCCATGGTGCTCCGCATGACAGGATAATGTTCCAGGACAGAGTTGAAATGCGTGGAGCTCAGTGAGAAAAGGTTGCAATATGTTTCCGCCCTGACACTTGCAACACGCTTCGTGTTCGCCAGGAGACAAATTTCTAGTTTGGATGTCGTTTATCAACCAGTTTTAGATCGTCTAAACAATTTAATTTATTGGCTTCAAACTAAAATATTTGATAATGATGGTCAATCAAATAAATAAAAATGCGAAAGAATATAAGGAAACCTCCAAAGTAGGAGCCATCGGAGAGGCTGGTAGCAATCTGACCTTCCTTGGTGATGATGTCAACAACGCCCTCTTGTATGAAGTACATCTTCGTTCCCATTGTTCCTGCGTCCAGTAAGCAAACAGTTCAGGTTTTGTTTGTTTGTTTGTTACAAAATTTTTATACGTATCGGTTAAAGAATCAATGCTATCAACAGGTCTATCATTTAACACGCAAGAAAACATGTGATCAACGACTCATTTCTATCTTATCAATTCAGCAACCAACAATATATCTACACTAAGTGACGTAATATGCAACTGGTAAGATGACTGTGGTAAATAAATGATAGAATCTAAACTACCTTTTCATAAAGTGTGTTCAATATTAATATAATGAAACTACACAAATAAAACTTTTGATAAAAATAATAAATGTGGTTGTTATAAAAATGCTGATTGGTGCTGTCAATGAGTGGAAGAACCTTCTTTGATGATGAAGTCTCCCGGTTGGAAGACTTCAAACTCCAGCTTGGTGATGACCTCTGACACAAAGTTGACATCAGCATGCGTGAAGAAGGGCACAGAGGCGACCAGGGCTCTGCAGTTGTAGTTGATTATTTCCTGCAGATGAACAATTATTTTTGCCGTTAACTGATCATTACCCCACGAATTCATCCATTAGCACAATTTTTGTTACAGAGCTGAGATTCCAATTAATCGTTCAATATTTTAGCGCATAATCCACAATCATTTAAAACACAATTTATGTTTATTTATGCTAAAATGCAAACTTCTTTTAGGCACTCGTTAAGTTCTGCTAGAATGTTCTTTTCGTCGAACATCTTTCCTTGGTAACGATGTTCGTAGTAGTACGTGATGCGTTGTCGTAAGTTCCGAGGCAGCTTCCTGTAGGCCATGTACTCTTCCACTTGTTTGAACTTTGTATCAAATTATTTCTATTATTAATTATACTCTCATTCTCAAAGTGAAAATTTTGAGTTTAATACCATATTGAGTATTAGTTTTTAAGTATTCTACTAGCTTTAGAAATTATAAAGACTAATTTGATGGTACTACATTTGAAAAAGCCACCATAAACTTTGCTGATCTCACCTTTTCTCTGTACATTCTCTTGGATGTGTCGAAGGATTGAATGAGGGTAGTGGCGTGGCCGACAAACATGGCGTAACACGTGGCCCCCGTCAACATGCTCACCTGAAATTATTAAAAAATCGTTTGTGTCGTTAGACCACTTAGTAACATTTATCGAATGGTAAAAATTTGGCAAGCGGTATTTGTGATCAAACCATGGTGAGCCAGACGTCGGTGGTAGATTGGGGTGGGTACCTGCCATACCCGATGCACAACATGTGGGAAAGGGCTTTGAAGAGAGCCCATGTGTACTGCTCCGACCAGTCAGCGTTCTGTCAAACGTTCAATTGTTGCGTCAGAGAACAACTTGTATCATTAAAAACACTTATTTGTAATAGTGAAAAGTTAAATAGCCATTAGCAAATTAATTTCGTAAAATCAACAAAACGCTGTGGTTTAAAATTTTCTTTTTATAAATTTTAAATTAATTTAATAAAAATTATTTAAATGAATTTAGACAGGATGATTATTGTGGAGAATGAAATTTGAAAGAGCCTGATGAATGTTGAACCTGAAGTTCTTCAAGGGCAGCCCAACTGTCGGAAGGAAAGTCCTGGAGCATGGGCACCAACCATTGAAGACATCCGTTCCAGTGACCAATCAGCAGCATCAGACTGACCAAGTTGAAGATTCGCATGAACTTCTCGGCCACTGTTAAAAACTGTTTCAAGAACTTAACATTAGGTGAAGATATTCTTTTGAAATGTAAAATAATATCTTAAAGGCTTTCCTGAAAAATATTATTAATAAAATTATTATTAAAAATAACAAAATATATTGTCATTGTTACTTTTTAAAGTTTACAAATAAAAGAATCGATCAATGATAAAATATTGGATGCAAGAACATCAATTGATGTTATTTAGTTTGATTCTCCCTTTAGAATTTTTCAGAGGTATCAACAACAAAAGCAATAAACAAAAAAAGCATATGCAAATGCCCGTGAATCAATGTAATGTATGACACATTTTATATGATCGACCGGGATCTGAACACATTCGAACCCGGTAACAGCAATAGCGATGCCAGACACCTAATCCATTAAACCATCGCGCCAACAATAAACATATAATTAAAATGAACTAGCATAGCTTTTATGTACAAGAGTATAAGAATATATAAAACATGGAATCTATTAAACATGAAATCTAACAAACAGAAACCATGAAATGTATTACAAACCTCCTCCCACTGACTGACATATCTGACGAGACGTGACAGCCTTAACAGCCGCAGAAGACTCAGCAACTTGACCAGACGCACCATCCGCAGTGCCCTTCCTGGGTGTGTTAGTTTGTTGTTCAGAATGTTCGTTAATGTGGATGCTATGTGGATACGTTAAATTTTCTTTTCATTTCGGTTTAATTTTTTGATATTTTTACAAAAAAGTTTTTTTTACGTTTTTGTGTTTTACGTTTGTTTATTTATAAGAAAATTATTGTGTGATCAGTTTTTGAGTTATTATATAAGTCTATAATTTAAACCGAACATGTCCAAAAACTATTTCTTGCTACTGTTCCTTATTTTTGTAAATTTTCAATACTTGGACATTTAAACCCCAGTTTGGGTTAAGGTTGTGCTTTTGCAATTAACGACAATCCCAAAATTCAACATCACCATCCTTCATGTGTTAAGAATTTTACAGAAATGTGGCTTGTATTTACGAGCAATTTTTAAGATTTAGAATTGAAAGATTGTTTTTTGCTATTTAGCGATCGTAATGCAAATGCTGAGATTACATAATAAAACCTAAAAATATAACCATGAACTCAATGAGAATTTAAAAATCGAAACTAAATTGAAAAGGAGGAAATTACAAATTTTTAAACAAATTTTTTTGCGTTGATTTAATTTTCACAAGCTATTAACACATTTTCAAAAGATTGTTGAAATATATTTTGGTTTAGTTGATTGATATTTGACTGTAAACATAACAGTTAAAAATGGAGTTAGGCCCATTTCGGCTTGTTGTTTACAACGGTAGCAACTATGATAGTTTCTTTCGGAAGAGAATGTTTATGTTTACATGCAAATGAGCGCGATGAGATGCACGTGTGATGTACGTTGCATTCCACCGACTGCTTGCTGTCCGACAATGCAGCGGTCGGGTCCATTCTCTCCCAGCATTAAAAATATGATTCTGCAAATGAAAGAGTGGCGCGCCACTTTCAAAACCTTTCCTCCATTTGAGAATGTTTACTAAATTGCTCGTAGAAATTAATTAATTGGAATTTAAACAAATATTGTTATCAATGATTTAAAAAGAAATTAATAAAAATTAATATTAACGGTTACAAAACAAAGTCTTTTGCTATGTAATATTATAATTATTTATAATTTATTAATTTCTTAATTTTTCAAAACTGATACAGCTAACAACTTTTAATTGTAACAAAATCAACAGCATCTACGATAATGACGTTACTACTACGATTACTAAGCTACTACTACTACTACTACTACCACCACCACTACTACCACTACTACTACCACTACTACTACCTCTACTACTACCACTACTACTATCTCTACTACTACCACTACTACTACTACTAAAAAAGCCACAATCAAAACATCTAAACGCCAATCAATTTTGTTCTTACAATGTTTTACAGGAAACACACAACACTTACTTTGGTCTGAAGTTGCGTAGCATGTGTTGTGCAATGTACGTACGTGTCATCATGAGATAGATTTGTCATTTTTTGTCGTTATCAGTGTATATGCATATGCCGCAATGTTGTACAGTGCTATCATTTAGTTGTTCACGCAAAAAACAAATCGATATTTGTCTTAATAGAGATTTTCATAATTTTTCTATATTCGTGAATTTTTTCATGTTAGATTTTGCTTTGAAGTTGGGTGATAATTAATAATTTTTTTGTTTCGAAATATTGGGTTTCTTCTTTTTGTGAGTATGTGTGAAATAAAAGGAATGTTTATGATTTGAAAGAAAAAAAATTCTTTTTTATTTTATGACTTGCTGGCTTAGTTGGAAGTGTTGGAATTGTTTGAGACCAGACGTGAAAGGTGGGATGGAACTGAATGAAGGAATGAATGGATTGGTGGATGGGTGGATCGATACAACACGATCGCATGAATGCCCGCCATATAAATTGACCCCATAAAGTAGGTAGTAAGAAAAATCAATGTTGAAATATTAGACAAAACATGAACGTATTGTGTTGAAAATTAAAAAAATTACTAAAAAATTCGATCTAGAAAAGAAATGTTTACGAAATAAAACTTCCCAGTAAATAAAAGAAAAATTTCGAAATGTTGAAGATAGGAAAAGCGTTGAATGGTTGAGAAAAGACGAATTTGAGAGTAAATGAATGATAAATGTGTTTCAAATGCGGGTGGCCCGTGGGATGGAAGAAGGAATGAAATAAATGGATGGAAAGAACGGTTGAATGGATCAGATTGATGAAATGAAAAGACCAAAAAAACAAAAAATAAGATTAATTAGAACCTAAAATTAATTTATAATGAATGAGTCTTAAACAGAGTAGACATCATGACACTTAGGATATCAAAGGAATTGAAATTGCGTTGCACGCTGTTATGCTACGTTCTGGCGTATTTACTGAAAAAACACCGCAAACAAGTGCCCGGTATCTTTGCACAAACAAACATTTTCACGATGAATTATTACCATCATGTTATTAATTACCGTCATGTAACTTATCAATAGCATTTTTAATTATCTATAAAAGGTAATAAATCATCTGTTGAAAATATAAAAACACGAACATCACCCAATGTAATTTTAACGTGTATTCGCATCACAATTTAAACACGATTATTCATTACACTTATTTCGCACACGTTTTGTATAGGTATTTTGTACACATGCATACACTCGCACAAACACAGGCAAACACACACACACAAACAAGCAAACATTCACACACAAAAATAGGCAAACACACACACACACGCAAACATTCACGCACGGAAACCCTATAAGAATTCTAACTATTATTCCATTTTATTTTATAAAAAATTGTTTTAAAATTATGACTCCTCACTTGAATGACGCTGAACAATTGTGGGCAGGCACTTGAATGAAAAAAACATTAAAAGCCAACTAAATCAAAACCATTAATAATAGTTTCTACTAAATGTAGACTACAATCAGAAACAATCTATACAGAGTAACTTAAAAAAATTATGAAAAATGTTTTCTAATTTATGAAACAAATTGTTTTAAATTCAATAGAAAATTTTTTGAGAAGTGTGCATATTCAAACATGAAACAACGAGTCAGGAATGAGTTTTAAAAAGTGGAACAGATGATTTTGTTTCACTGATCGTCGTAACATCGTTTGCGAATTTTGTTAGATACACTGAAAACCAACAATTGAAATAAGTATATAAATATTAAGCTTGGCTGGTATGGTGGCAAGATTTGGTTGAAACACAAAAGTTCCAACAAGTCTTGTAAGAAGCAAGGCATGAAATTAAATTTCAGCTCTTCAGAGCGCGATTTAAGGGTAGAAATGATTCGATTGAATGAGGTCATCTACAAGTTAGGTGCTATCTGGGAAATTAATTCGTAAGATGACAATCTCAACATTTTGAAGTCCAGCGATCATCCTCCAACAAGCCGAACATTCTAAGTAGATGAAAGTGTCAGGAAAGTAGCAAAAACAATTCGTGAAATACCAAAAAAGAAATAGAAATGCTGAGTCACGTTCAGTGCGTTAAATTTTTTTGCATGGAAACATGAACAAACATTTTGTAATAATATTGAAAAAAAATAATCAAAATACAATTTATTTAAATAATTTTTACGACAATTCATTGTCGAATAAAGATTATATTTACTTGCATTAAAACCCCGATAAATAAACCACAGCGGAACAAAAGTTTATCAAATTTTTTGCTGCTGTGATCAAACAGTACCAAACAAATCTACGGATTCAAACAAAATGAAAAATTTGAATTTTGCAAGAGAAAGCAGTGCGGAGGATGGCAAGTGGGTCTAACTTGACACGTTCACAAGCTAATTTCGATAATAAGCATAACATGTTGGACTTCTTCACTATAGTATGATTGCATGGCGATGATGACTGTTAAAAATCATTAAATAACAAATTAATAAACAAATTAAGTTTTAAAGTATTTTATAAACGTTTATATGTTCATAAAACCTGCGTAATGCACCTTTTATTGCAAAATTTACGGTCCTTCAAACGCTCGGGCAACGTTAACATAGCAACGTTCATGCACGGCTGGTTTTTCGATTGAATGACATTTACATTGCAGCCAGCATGTGAACTAATAACAAACACAACATCCCAGTCATTCACGTGAACAAAAATGCACATTCACGCACGTGAATTATACAACAGACACATTTATGCACGTTAAAACAAATAACATGCAAATTCCCGTACGTGAACAAACAACTTGTGCGTACACTCACGCACATGAACAAACAAACAAACACGTTCAGACGGCCTGCTAGAAATTGTCAGCATTTCCTCCCGACCAACATAATGCACACAGTCGACTTACTACGCGCCAATGCTTTCAATTATAAATTTTCTTAAATTACTTCCACAAACAATTGCGTGTCGGTCAGAAAGCATTTAGGCGTACACGCAAATATTAATTTAAATTCATGAACATTTTTTTTTGTAAACAGAAAAATTTTTACAGTAAAAAAAAGTAAAAAACTATAAATTGAAATATCGAATACATTTTTGAAGTAAAATTTTTATAAAAAAAACACTACAATGTTGAACAACTTAACATGACAACGGAAACATTCATGCACTTTACAGTTGCATTGCATAAGTTCTTCCTTATCCATGAATATTTCTGCCACAAACACTCCACTTTGTTAGCACTAGAAAACATCCTGAGCATCAAAACATTAGAACACAACAGAAAAAATGGCAGAGTGATTTGAACGCACTGGGGTAACATTGAGAAGGCATAATTAGCACCATGTTGGCTCTAACGGCCACACTAGTAGGAAGACTATACGTACATGCAGAGGAGTTGGACATGCATCTTCAATTTAAAACTTTTAATATAATCAGTGCATGGAAACGCCAGGGTTGCTGACTTGATACTAGTATTAATACTAGTAATTGTTAGAAGAATGGTATCCGCAATGGAAAATTGAAAGATGGTTAGGCTGTCAAAACAATCGTTTGAGCACATTGCCGCGTTATTTCATATGGAATAACTTTGTTTCCACGTTAAGATTCGTTGCTGCTTATCATTTTAAAAAGATATATATTTCTTATTATATAATATGCA